TTTTCAAATAATATGATGACTAATAAAACATCTAAAAATCAAATTTGTAATAATTGATTTAGTCAACCAAGTTCAAATAAGCAACTATAAGAGAGTGAATAAAATATAATTTCAATAACGAGCTTTATCAATGAAAAGTTATACTCAATTTTGGGAATTCTACAATACCGCAAAATTCAAATTAAATTTCGGAGATCAGGACATATCGAATGTTTCTGGTCTAAACATCAAAATCGTGGAAATTCTCAAATGTATAAATTTGCTGAACTGTATTTTCTTCAACACACACTGAGTTTCTGAGAGACTTGTTGATCAAGTTGTACATTATTCTATTTTATTTACTGGAATCCTGATGATGGTGGCCGTTAAATATTTCATGAAGTATAGTTATAACCGCGGTTAGGAGAATCTTGCGATCTGAATTTCTTTTTGAAGGGTCAATAATTTATTAATACAATACCATATCATTTTGTCCAATTACCTACATGTGTAATATTTAAATCTAACAATTCACCACAGCAATAATGGGTAGCATACACGTATCATTAGCCAATTAAATTGAATACTTAATTTTTGATTTTGAACATCCAGTATTATCCAGTACAATGTAATAGACAGAAAGTTACAGATAGCGTATCAGTAAAGTCCGAGAAATTATAAAATAGTCTCCGAAATATTTAAAGAAAAGCAATACTATTCATGTTATATTAATTATGTGGCATCTGGTTTTATTTCATATAAATCAAAGCATCCTGTATTAAATATTTTATTGAAAATATACAGTTATTGGGCGGCCCTTATGGTTGTTGCATTAGTACCGATGGATATCATATCGTTTTTCCTGACTGATCCCGAAAAAGTGTCTTATCCTCAACTGGCAATTGGACTTTTATTCCATATTCCTACAGTATTAAAAGCAATATTTTTTAAATTTATGAAGAAAAAATATGAAACGTTGATGTGTTACCTCCAATACAACACACTCATTAGTGAAAATGGAGAGGTTTTGGAAATATTTGAGAAAGAAAAAGATGCCAGCCAAAAATTCAATAAAATATATACACTAACAATTTTATTTAGTGTTTTCGGTTTCACAGTTCCACCAGTAGCAATAGCTTTATACAATATTTTTGGAAATAGCAGTGGCAGACTGGTTACTATAGAATTGTCGTTTCCTGTTTCCCTACCTTACAATATGGACACAGCGAAAGGGTACGCGTTAGGTGCCGTTCATATGTTTTTTCAAGTTCATCTTATTGCATTTGCGTTTATCGGAATGGATGTTTTAATAGCTGGATTGATGAGGACTACCATTGCTCATCTGAAATGTCTTGCAAAGCAATTTTCTGTCATCAGAAATGACGTAAGAAGCCAAACCAATGGAAAAGCGAAGGATGAGTTTATAAAGGCTATACAATATTTACAACGCATATACAAGTACATACGTAAAGCATTCATATTAAACTTACGAGGTTTGAAAATTATTCACTTGTCCTAAAAATTAGGCAATTAATAAATTTTTTTATACCAATTATATTAAAGGAGCTATTTCGTTTTATTTTTCAATTACTATACGATTATTTGAAATGCTATCTATTGCTAAAATAATGTAAGTTTGACGACTTTCGTAAAATGTTTTTAAATTAGTTTTGCAATGTTTTACTTCTTCAGTTTTGCTTACTTCAGACATCTTAAAAAACCAAAAGACTTGTAACTTATATTCAAATTTTTGTTGATCATTATAGCAACAGATTTAAACAATATCTTCGAATTTACGTACAAAATTATGAGCTAGAATGAAAAAATATCTTAGATAATAATAAAAAGCTACAATTAAGTTCCGAAACATTGCACAATGTCTAGCTACGGCCCTGTATGGATATAATCGAAATTCTTGTTTATTCTGCTTTCTGATTTCTAAAAAATGTTCCTGCATATGTACCTATTTATGTTAAAATATAAACAAAATATGATTGCACGGGTTCATTTACAGGGGGCATCGTGATGTTGAAAATCTTCAGTACCTAATGCTTTTTACACAATATATATGTTCAGTTGCAATACTTGCTGTAGGTTTATATAGAAATAGTAAAGTAAGTACGATAAAATTTTTAACTGCTATCGTAGTTAAGTTTCTTTTTATATTTATGTAAATCATAATTATCATATAAGTCACAGCGAGAAGGAAGTTCTCATTCAAATAATTACTTTTAAGGACTTCAAGGTGGACGCCGTCTTATTCAAATCCTGCGGTTTTTTTATAATAGTCTTATTCCAACCATTTCTGTATTGTTACTTTGGAGATATGGTTACTAGAGAGGTAAGGAAGCTTGTTGTTAAGGTAGTTTAGCCGAGTTTTTACGAATGCAAATAAAAATTTATAAGATAAACTAATTTTTACCTCAAAATTTCTAAAAGGATACCCTGACATTATGAATACATAATAAATTTAATAAGAAAGGTACTAATTACGTTCATTTGGTCAGTACAATTAATCGCCTTGCGTCAACTTCGGGTGAATTGGGATTACGTCAATTTAAAAATAAACTAGCGGAAGTACCTTCTTAAAATTTCATATTTTTGAATTGATAGTTCAGAAAATGGAGCATTTTCATAACAATACTGAGCGTCTAAGTTGACAACTAGTTTTTCTTTTTTTGTTTTAAAGTATATCTAGTATAGTTGAAAGGTTAATTTTCGAAATTATCGAAAATTCCGTCATGCTTTCACCGTGCTAATATTATTCCTATTAAATATAAGACTTTTAATTTTAACGCCATAATAAGCCCTTAGTTTCATTGTTGTTAATGAAAACGCTTTAACTATTGGTTAGTGCAGGCTTGTTGTCACTTCACTGACTAATGATGTTAAATTGTACGATGTGTATAAATAATTGTTGCTACAAATTTCATAAACACGACTAAACAATGATTCAATTTTATAAATTTCTTTCTTGCAAGGCTGAAAATGTAAAAACGGCTTTATACGAAAGTGATTGGATTGGTAGTAGAATAGGGTACCAACGTCTGGTATTGCTTACTTTAACACGATTGAACAGACCGTTGATTTTCACTTGTGGAAAACTAATAGACCTTAGCAACCCTGCGTTTGTTACAGTAAGTAAAAAAATTACGAACAGCATCAGAATTTAAAACTCAATAGTTTAGCCCGCTACCTTTATCGGAAATATCAATAAAATTTTCCAGAATTTTAAGAAAATAAGCCAGATTTGTATTCTCTTAATTTCAGATTGTTAACACGTCGTATTCTGCATTTAATTTACTCAAGAAGTCAAATGAAAGCTTTTAAGGACATACGCGTTTATTGGGAATCACTTCTGCTTTATTATCAGATTAATACAGTTTAATAAATATCAATCTATCCAAAGGACACATTTACTATAACATTTTTAATTGAAGAAACAAAACAACTTCGAACGTTTCGAGGAATTTACTCGTGTTAAATGTTGAAGATGATTGTATAAGTTTGCAACAATATTCTCGAATTGTATGTAATGCAATGTAAAGAATTAATGTAGGTGATAGGTAGTATACAATGCTTCTATGTATTTGCACATTAATTTATATTATTGTCAGCACATTCGCAAATAAATACTGAAGTAGTTGATGCATTAAAGATATGATTATTTCTTGTAGGGGTATTCTACCCTGACGAACAATTCTTTTCTTTGATACGCTATTTTACTTATCTTTTATGTAAACACCAAAAAATAACATCCGTTAGATGAATTTAAAGGTGTACCTATGTTTGGAGCACGGCGTTGTACGGGTGCGAAACATGGNACCCCTCCTAACTTCCGTTTCTGTCTCTAATATGTCTCTGACTAGACCTTCATGCCTGAGAAGGTGTCCTAATAACCTATCTCGCCTATTTCTTATTGACTTCCATAGAGTCCTCTATTCTCCTATTCTTTCTAATATCTCTTCATTCCTAATCTTCTCTATCCACGGCATCCTTATCATTCGCCTGTAACACCACATTTCGAACGCTTCTAACCTTTTCTTTTTCGCCACGCCCACTGTCCATGTTTTAAGCGATACAGCTTTGACGGTCGGTCATCAATGGGAAGCCTAAGTCATACCTCTACCTTCGACCTACACTTTGGTGCAAAATAGGAGGGTAAGGTGGAAGGTCTTCTTTAGTTTCTTCTTAGGAAATATTCAAAGAACCACATTGCATGAAATTTAAGCTGATAAAACGTCCGATTGCTTAGATAAGCTGGTCAAATACTGAAATATAAGGCGATTCTAAGATTTATAGTATTTTTCGAATAATAATATGACCATTTGTTCTATAATATAAAAGTCTACAATTAAACTTGGTTATTTTAACACACAAATAGAACAAATAATATGAAGTTAGAATTTGAAATCTTGCAAAAACAAAATAAACTGTAATTAGAAAGGAAGATTACAATTAACTGAGTATTAAAATTTAAATAACTAACTTGTTTTTTATTGACTTAGAAATGAATTTTTAAAACTCCAAAAATTTCAAAAAATTCTCTTGCAATTTAGTTGTTTTTTTTTTGTTAAAGGATCAATGTTTCACTTGGCACGTGGCAATTGTGAATATTTAGTACATAAATAATTAAGTGCATATTTTTTTAAACATTTCTTTTAAAATATTTAATATCGTAATTTTGTGTCACCTTGATTTAAAATTTATGACAATTATTTCAAACTAGAGAAGGACATAATTATGTACTTATCTAACCTATCCAATAGGTAATTTATTGGTTTCCCTGATCATCTTTTAATTGAAAATCATTCTGAAAATTCACAGACCAGATTACTGTACGCAAGCAGTTAAAGCTTTTTGCGCTAACGTCTTTCTTTTTGACATCATTCGACGTTTGATTATCAGTTTAATTAATATGCATAATATTCATTTTCTTGCTATTTCATTAAATAGTAAAACGAAGGTAGAAACTAGTCGTATATCATCTTATTGTTAGTGAAACCTAAAATCGATCGGAGTCCGATCCGACTGGTTAATATGACAAACACGTATAGAAGCAAAATTAGTCTCCGGTCGTTGGCCAGCAACTTAATCCCTTGAGAGGCTATGCATACCCATTACTTCCATATCGGAGACCATATTCCGATGGAAATAGAACAGACACTAGACGAGGTAAATTTAGATCAAGGTATCTAGGCATTTTGTAATTTTACCGGATAAAATCTAATCATTCACAGTTCAACTCTTCCGCTTTAATTGGCGACTTGCTTGCTACTAAAAACAAATTACCAACTTAATTGAATTTTATGTGCTCCATTACTGTCTATTTACTATTTTGCTATCGAATACAAAGACAATAGTAACGTGTTCAATTTAAGTTAGATTCTATTAAATTATGTAGTTTTTTTCCGGTAAAGGTCTAGATGGGGATCGAAGGAGGAGGTCTCCCCCACCACTGTACCATAAAAAGTTCGTGGCGGGCTCACCCCAATAAAAAGTTATAGGGGTTCAAAGTTAACAAATATGCCAATTTTTATACATTCTAGGCATATAAATATTTATATAGTCATTCTTAAACAATATTCAAAGGTAAAACTAATGAAAAATACATAAAAATATTGAGAAAGTTATATAAAACATTATTTAAATAGCTTTATCAATAGGGTAGGTTAGGTTAGGTTATCGGGTTTTGTTCAAGTGACCACCCTCTTTCGATGCCCCACCTCCACCCGCTTGAAAATAATTTTTTTATTGAATTTTATTTGAATTATAGTCTATGAAAATTGTCAAAATAATCAACTTTCAACCCCCATAGCTTTTTATTAGTGTGAAACCGCCGCAAACTTTTTATGGGGTTTTACTCAGGTGACCACCCTCTTTCGAGATTGATTAATTCTTGATCGAAACAATAAAAAGCGTGGTTTTAAAAATTTAATTTTAATTTAATTAGTTTAAAATTTAATAAAGTTTTTTGTTAATATGATTAAAGAAAGCATTTATCTTCATCTCAAACCTGCAGAGTAAAATTCCAATTTTAAAGATATGAAATATTGGGTGCAAGCGAATGTGGAATTTTAGTTTTTTTAATCTCGAAAGGGCAGGTAGAGACCCGAAAACTACTGTGAATGTGGCATTGTTAATATGTAATATTACAGAGAAGTAAAAGTAATATAGGCTCTATTTTTTTTTTTTTGACAAAGATGATTTGGACCTATATTAAATTATGTTCATAAATACTTGAGGATGTGGCATGTTCTAGTGTCAGGGAAATACGAAGTTAGGAAAAAGTAGAGGTGNTCTTAGGCATGGGAGCAGTCAAAAATGTCTGGCCATCAATGCTGCAAAGACAAAACTCTCCATGGAATCCTGCGGAACTGACATCGAAAGGTAAAAATGGAAGTTATGATGCTTCAATACTGCGAAAAACTTATTTTTAAAAAAATATCGCGCAATTGTATTTGTGTGTTTTTTTTTTATCATAGGCTTGCTAAAGAATGTGCTCAATTTATTGTTAATATTATATTATTGTATATTGTAGGTACCTAAGAATTTCGATAACGAGTGCAAATGATACAGCAAAATCGGTTTGTCAATTCACCTGCTGACTATCACTTATTTGCATTGCATTTAGTATTAAAAATATATTTTTTGACATGATACACTGCCAATAAGACGAAATAACTGTTTCAAGATAAATGTATCCGAAATGTAATAAGATTAAAAGTGTGTTCTTTTTAAATGTAGGTTCAAACAAATACACTTATTTTTTAGGATTTTTTATTGTACATTCATAATTAAACCACAATAACATTTTATGTCTATTTACTCATTCTTTCTACATATTTTCAGGGTGAACCAATACTGATATAATCTCGTAACGCTTTACACCTATATACGATTGGAATTGGAGGTCTTCTTTAAGATCCGGATATTTTTGAACAGTGGCGACATGAAAAGGGTGAGTTAAGTTTTAATATTCCTATTTCTATGTATTAAGTAAAATTATCTAAAAAGGTGTTCATTACTTCATAAAACTAGAAATATTTGTTTTTTAACAAAAATTATTTAAAAGAGTTCACCTTAAGTGCTTACCCATTTCTTCTTTACTACAATGAAGGTTTCGTAAAAGCAAAAAAAAGCATTATTCAAAATAGAAACAATAACTTCACTTTTATAAATTAACAATTATAAATAAAAGCTTTCATTAAAATTTATAAAAACGTTAAAAATAAATAATAATATCGAAGAGGTATCAATTGAAGAAGAGTTTAAAGTTAATCCAGAAGCTTAATTAACTGGTTTTTTATTGTTTATAGTTAAATGTATGAAGACAAAATATGAAACATTGATGTGCTACCTTCAATATGAAACACTCGTTAGTGAAAATGGAGAAGTTTTGGAAATTTTTGAGAAAGAAAAAGATGCCAGCCGAAGATTCAATAAAATATACGAAATAATTATGTTATTTGGTATTTTCGGTTTCACAGTTCCACCAGTAGCAATAGCTTTATACAATATTTTTGGAAANTTAATATGTAATATTACAGAGAAGTAAAAGTAATATAGGCTCTATTTTTTTTTTTTTGACAAAGATGATTTGGACCTATATTAAATTATGTTCATAAATACTTGAGGATGTGGCATGTTCTAGTGTCAGGGAAATACGAAGTTAGGAAAAAGTAGAGGTGAGTACCCAAGCAGTCATAGGACTAACGACGTTAATTGATTGAGTAATAGATACCTACACCATGCCCTAATGATATAAACTATATTTTGTTTTAATCAAAATAAATTTTTGTTTGGAAATATCAGTATTTTTATGCAAGTTCATATAGTTACGTGAAAATTATGTTATTAATAAGTAAACTACGAATTTCTGGTATTGCGTCTTCTGTCAGTAGGTATATTATTACGGAAAGAGGGAAAATAAACATATTATTCAAATACAAATAATAATAATACGTACTTACGATTTGTTGCGATTGTAACTCTTTTATACTTGTGATTGTTTTAATGTGTCGAAAGGGGACGCTAAATTCGTTCGCAAATACTACCTTAAATACTTCTCATATTACTAATTTTCTGTCATTTTGAATTTTTTTTTCTCGCTTATAAGTTTCTTTTTTCGCTTTAGGAAGGTTTTACTTCATTTTTTATTGGTTATAAACGAAGTGAATAGCTACAGATTGGCACTTAGTCTTTTTTTTAAAGAAAAGTCAATAATTTATTAATGTAATAGCATACCAATTTGTGCAATTACCTCTCTACATGTGTAATATAGTAATCCACCACAACAATCATACGTAGCGTACATGTATCATTAACCAATCAAACTGAATACATTGTAATTCTAATTTTTTAAACGGCTAAACATCCTGTATTACTCGGTATAAAACAGATGAAAATTTTTAGATAACATAACAGTAACTTAAGCAATAAATCACAAAATGAATTCGAAAGTTTTTTTTGAAAAACAATACTATCTAAGTTATTTAAATTATGTGGCATCAGGTTTTATTTCGTACGAGTCGAAAAGTCATGTATTAAATAATTTATTGAAAATATACAGTTACTGGGCGGCCCTTATGGTTGTTGCATTAGTACCGATTGATATTTTGTCGTTCTTTTTGGCCGACCCCAAAAAGGTGTCTTATCCTCAACTGGCAATCGGACTTTTATTCCATATTTCTACAGTATTTAAAGCAACGTATTTTAAGTGTATGAAGACAAAATATGAAACATTGATGTGCTACCTTCAATATGAAACACTCGTCACTGAAAATAAAGAACTTTTGGAAATTTTTGAGAAAGAAAAAGATGCCAGCCGGAGATTCAATAAAATATACGAAATAATTATGTTATTTGGTATTTTCGGTTTCACAGTTCCACCAGTAGCAATAGCTTTATACAATATTTTTGGAAATAGCAGTGGCACATTGATTACTATAGAACTGTCGTTTCCTGTTTCATTACCTTACAATATGGATACACTGAATGGGTATACATTAGGTGCCGTTCATATGTTTGTTGAAATTCATATTATCGGGTTCGCATTTATTGGAATGGATGTTTTGATAGCTGGATTGATGAGAACCATCATTGCTCATTTGAAATGTCTTGCAAGACAATTTTTAACCATTCGAGCCAAAGACGACGTAAAAGGTCAATTAAAGGAGGATGAGTTTATAAAGGCTATACAATATTTACAACGAATATACAAGTATATAATTCATTCATTTTCATCTCAGCAGATTACAAATTAGCATACTAATACCAATAATTCCAAGTTAAATTTTATTAAAGTTAAAAAGATTATCTTTTTTAGTTATTAAGCACATCAACGATATCTTTACATACGATATCATGATAGAAACAAAATATGATTACACTTGAGTTTATTTTTAGAGGACATCGTGATCTCGAAAATCTTCAAAACCTTGTGCTTTTTATACAATATGTATGTTCAATTGCAATACTTGCTGTGGGTTTATACAGAAATACTAAAGTGAGTATGACTGCGTTTTTAACTGACGTGTATCGTATTTATTACAATAACTAATTATACCTAATCAGTTCTTACGTGTAACATAAACCGCAGACTAAGGGAGTTGTAGTAATTAGAATAATTATTTTGAAGGACTTCAAAGTGGATCTCGCCCTATTGAAATCATGCGGTTTTTTTATAATAGTCTTATTCCAACCATTTCTGTATTGTTACTTTGGAGATATGGTTACTAGAGAGGTAAGTAAAGGCAAGAGCTTAAAAATGTAGTTAGCTTTTAAATAATTCACGATATTGTACTTTGTATATGTATAAGTTAAGCTAAAGTAATTCATTTGCATATTATTTGTACTATCTAACTATTAAGTACCTATAGTGTCAACATTATTTAGACAATGTGATTATTGGGGCAGAATTAGTCAAATATTCCAGCAATTTTACAAAATATCCAATAAAAATTGGATAAAGTAATAAATCACAATACTTCAGCTTATTTTATATTGCAAGGGTAGGTACAATTAAGGAGGAATGAAGAGTATAATCGAAAGTCAATGGAACTTAAAAAAGAAGGACACTATAATTAGCAAAACCAATAAAAACTAACACAATTGTTCTAGGCTTTTTGCGCTAACGTCTTTCTTTTTGACATCATTCGACGTTTGATTATCAGTTTAATTAATATGCATAATATTCATTTAATCACATTGTCTATAACATATGCAACCGCAATAATAAGTTACACAAGCACGACTTAACGCTGGTTCAGTATCATGAATTTCATTCCTACTAGGTTGAGAATGTAAAAATGGCTTTATACGAAAGTGATTGGATCGGTAGTCGATTAAGATATCAGCGGCTTATGCTCCTAACCTTAACACGATTGAACCGGCCCTTACTCTTCACCTGCGGAAAACTAATGCCACTGAGCAAATCTACCTTTATTTCAGTAAGTAAAATAATCTTCTCTAACAGAACTTCAAATTTAACAAATTAAATTAAAAAAAATTATTTTTTTTGAAGTGAAACTTCTTTACGCACGGTAGGGTAAGTTCGTTTCATGCGAGTTGCTATGTAACGAAATCATGCAACGGATGTCCCCCCTCTACTCGGCCACGTAGTCGAGTTCGTAGTGGGGATCGCTTGAGCCGTGAGCGCGCTTCAATGCAACGTTCGTTACAGGCAACTCCGGCATGTATAGTGTAAAATTTAAATTCATAGTGTACAAATAATACCATTAAACCAATTCCTCAACCCCTATCCCGGTATGTTTGTGTGTTTGAAGAACTTTCACTTCAGTAGCGTGTTGTATAATTACACGTTGTAATTTTTTTTTATTCATCAAGACTTACTTGCCTATATAAGTAATGCCGTCGTAACCGTACTTTTATATACCATAGGCAATAAGTCTGTGTTTTTCTTTTCGGAAAGTTAGTAATAACAAAATAAACCATAAGTCTGTTGTTCTGTTAATTTCAGATCGTTAAGACGGCGTATTCTGCATTCAACTTACTAAAGCGATCAAATCATTATTAAAATTATGGTTCAGTTTCAGGAACATTTAAGCACATGGATATATAAGCTATTTATATGTATATCTGTATAGGAAATACGTTGCTTCAATGTTTTATTAGCCCATATTATGTAGATACAGTTGAAAATAAGTACTGTGTATTTTAAATCAATTATTGTTAATTGTACAGTACCTCTGCAAATAAATGCTGATTTGGACCTATATAAAATTATGTTCATAAATAGTTGAGGATGTGGGATGTTCTGGTGTCAGGAAAATACGAAGTTAGGAAAAAGTTGAGGTGAGTGCTATGATGTGAATAATAATAAAAATGGATTTTTGTTTGGAAATATCAATATTTTTATGCAAGTTCAGAAGAAAAGTTTGGCTAATTATTGTAGTTACGTGAAAATTGTGTTATTTATACGTAAACCTCGAATTTCTGGTATTGGGTTTTATATCAGTAGGCAGATATATTTATTATGAAAATAAGGAAATTAAACTTATATCATTCGAATTGTACTATAGCGTACTTATAAAAATAATAATAATACGTACTTACGATTTGTTGCGATTGTAACTTTTTTATACTTGTGATTGTATCAAAAGGGGACGTTAGATTCGTTCGCAAATACTACCTTAAATACTTCTCATTTCACTAATATTTCTGTAATTTTGAATTTTTTTTTTTCTCGCTTGTAAGTTTCTTTTTTCGCTTTAGAAAGGATTTACCTCATTTTTTATTGGTTATCAACGAAGTGAATAGCTACAGATTGGCACTTAGCCTTTTTTTTTAAGAAAAGTCAATAATTTATTAATGTAATAGCATACCAATTTGTACAATTACCTCTCTACATGTGTAATATAGTAATCCACCACAACAATCATACGTAGCGTACATGTATCATTAACCAATCAAACTGAATACATTGTAATTTTTTAAACGGTTAAACATCCTGCATTGCTCGGTATAAAACAGACGAAAATTTTTAGATAACATAACAGTAACTTAAGCAATAAATCACAAAATGAATTCGAAAGTTTTTTTTGAAAAACAATACTATCTAAGTTATTTAAATTATGTGGCATCAGGTTTTATTTCATACGAGTCGAAAAGTCGCGTATTAAATAATTTATTGACAATATACCGTTATTGGGCAGCCCTTATGGTTGTTGCATTAGTACCGATTGATACTTTGTCGTTTTTTCTGGCTGATCCCAAAACGGTGTCTTATCCTCAACTGGCAATCGGATTTTTATTCCATATTCCGACAGTATTTAAAGCAACGTATTTTAAATGTATGAAGACAAAATATGAAGCATTGATGTGCTACCTTCAATATGAAACACTCGTCACTGAAAATAAAGAACTTTTGGAAATTTTTGAGAAAGAAAAAGATGCCAGCCGGAGATTCAATAAAATATACGAAATAATTATGTTATTTGGTATTTTCGGTTTCACAGTTCCACCAGTAGCAATAGCTTTATACAATATTTTTGGAAATAGCAGTGGCACATTGATTACTATAGAACTGTCGTTTCCTGTTTCATTACCTTACAATATGGATACACTGAATGGGTATACATTAGGTGCCGTTCATATGTTTGTTGAAATTCATATTATCGGGTTCGCATTTATTGGAATGGATGTTTTGATAGCTGGATTGATGAGAACCATCATTGCTCATTTGAAATGTCTTGCAAGACAATTTTTAACCATTCGAGCCAAAGACGACGTAAAAGGTCAATTAAAGGAGGATGAGTTTATAAAGGCTATACAATATTTACAACGAATATACAAGTATATAATTCATTCATTTTCATCTCAGCAGATTACAAATTAGCATACTAATACCAATAATTCCAAGTTAAATTTTATTAAAGTTAAAAAGATTATCTTTTTTAGTTATTAAGCACATCAACGATATCTTTACATACGATATCATGATAGAAACAAAATATGATTACACTTGAGTTTATTTTTAGAGGACATCGTGATCTCGAAAATCTTCAAAACCTTGTGCTTTTTATACAATATGTATGTTCAATTGCAATACTTGCTGTGGGTTTATACAGAAATACTAAAGTGAGTATGACTGCGTTTTTAACTGACGTGTATCGTATTTATTACAATAACTAATTATACCTAATCAGTTCTTACGTGTAACATAAACCGCAGACTAAGGGAGTTGTAGTAATTAGAATAATTATTTTGAAGGACTTCAAAGTGGATCTCGCCCTATTGAAATCATGCGGTTTTTTTATAATAGTCTTATTCCAACCATTTCTGTATTGTTACTTTGGAGATATGGTTACTAGAGAGGTAAGTAAAGGCAAGAGCTTAAAAATGTAGTTAGCTTTTAAATAATTCACGATATTGTACTTTGTATATGTATAAGTTAAGCTAAAGTAATTCATTTGCATATTATTTGTACTATCTAACTATTAAGTACCTATAGTGTCAACATTATTTAGACAATGTGATTATTGGGGCAGAATTAGTCAAATATTCCAGCAATTTTACAAAATATCCAATAAAAATTGGATAAAGTAATAAATCACAATACTTCAGCTTATTTTATATTGCAAGGGTAGGTACAATTAAGGAGGAATGAAGAGTATAATCGAAAGTCAATGGAACTTAAAAAAGAAGGACACTATAATTAGCAAAACCAATAAAAACTAACACAATTGTTCTAGGCTTTTTGCGCTAACGTCTTTCTTTTTGACATCATTCGACGTTTGATTATCAGTTTAATTAATATGCATAATATTCATTTAATCACATTGTCTATAACATATGCAACCGCAATAATAAGTTACATAAGCACTACTTAACACTGGTTCAATATTATGAATTTCATTCCTACAAGGTTGAGAATGTAAAAATGGCTTTATACGAAAGTGATTGGATCGGTAGTCGATTAAGATATCAGCGGCTTATGCTCCTAACCTTAACACGATTGAACCGACCCTTACTCTTCACCTGC